ATTCTTACGCTTCAAGCAATCGCCCGTCCCTCCGTGTGACGTCATCCAACCCGCCGATAAACGCTCCCAGAATCCTCTGCGCCACTGCGGCGTCTATACAGAGGACCCGCATACACCTGCTGCTGCCCTTTCCTCCAATCCCCGCACTGTGACCGCAGCTAGGTCATCTCTACGTGTTCAGGAGTACACATGACATGGGATGCCTGTCATCTGTTGTGTATTCCTGATTACATGCGGTCGCCATCGCCGGCCACTCCCCTTATAGTACACAGTGGCGTAGACCGGGGGTAGCCAAACTCCGGCCCTCCAGCTGTGTGGTGGAACTACAAAATCCCATGAGGCATTGCAAGATTTTCACAGAAATGACATCCCCCCCGAAGGGAGATGCATCATGGGATTTGTAGTTTCACCCACAGCTGGAGGTCCGGAGGTTTGGCTACCCCCGGCATAGACTGTCCTGCTTAGCTGCAGGCTGTCCCTGGAATTTCCTGTCCTTGGTTGTCGGCTCTAGAATGACCTCTCTTCCGGCTTACATAGATATGATAGGAGACCAGCAGGGGGCGCCGTGGTACTGCAACCCCAAACTAAGAATTCCAAGTGGGGCTTTCACCTACTCTATATCCAGGGCCGGATTTCTCACAAGGCCAACCGAGGCCCGGCCGAGGGGCAGCAGGGAGTAGAGGGGCAGCTGGGAGTAGAGGGGCGGCAGGGAGTAGAGTAGCAGCAGGGAGTAGAGGGGCGGCAGGGAGAAGAGGGGCAGCATGGAGTAGAGGGGCGGCAGGGTGTAGAGGAGCAGCAGGGAGTAGAGGGGCAGCAGGGAACAGAGGGGTGGCTGGGAGTAGAGGGGCAGCAGGGAACAAAGGGGTGGCTGGGAGTAGAGGGGCAGCAGGGAAAAAAGTGGCAGCAAGGAGTAGAGGGGCAGCAGGGAACAAAGGGGCAGCAGGGAGTAGAGGGGCAGCAGGGAACAGAGGGGCGGCAGGGAGTGGAGGGGTAGCAGGGAGTAGAGGGGCAGCAGGGAGTAGAGGGGCAGCAGGAAATGGAGGGGCAGCAGGGAGTAGAGGGGCAGCAGGAAATGGAGGGGCAGCAGGGAGTAGAAGGGCAGCAGGAAATGGAGGGGCAGCAGGGAGTAGAGGGGCA